TATTGAGTTACATCGCTTCACTGTTTTTGATTGATAAAAATCTCTTGACTGATGGATGCATATGAAATTTTTGTCAATGAAATAGTAAACTGCAGCAGATTTCACAGATGCATATAATGAATCGAGTTTCAAAATATAAATGAGAAACAAACGCCTACAATAGAGTTGAGGAAACTAACAAATTGAATGTCACTTTCCACACCGCAATAAAAATCGGTAACAAATGCGCCTTAACTGTTCGGAACAGTGCCATACTGCGACAACAAAGTACATTTAAGCATAAAAAATAACCGTGAACATCATAAGATGAGATCAGTTCCGACGGAACTAACGATAACTTAACCGGAAAATATCAAAATTTATTAACATGTCCATTATGTAAAGCTTAAATGTACAAAAATGTAAAACGAAGCTAAATTAACTGTCAAAAATTAGTAACACAAAAGTATACAGATTTATCTTAGATACTTTTTGAAAATTAATGTCAGTGTCGGTTTGTATTAACACAGTAGCGGATTTGTGTTTCTAGGCAAAAGGGCATATCATAAACTTTAATTCCATGCAAATTTTCTAATAAAAATGTGCAAATGCAAAATGTTAAGTATATGCGTACATATTTTATAGAATAGATATTCTTATGTATATAATAGTATAATAAATAAATACATAAAATTTTTATTTGTGAATATAAATAAATCTTAATAACGTACGTAGGCAACTCTGTCTTAGTTAACCTCGGTTGATGTTACCACACCTGTTTTTGGTATTTGCTGCTTGTTTTATTTATTCAGCATAAAATTTTACAATGCAGTCGACTATGAATGAATCTTTTCATGAATGAATACACTCTGCACATTTACTCTAATCTCCGTTTTGTGTTGCTAGATGCTAGATATTCCCGCTTTCTTAGCTTATGCTTGTTGCTTTAACTTATTATTATATTGTCAACAATATTAATGATTCACGCGATATCATATTTCATGATTGTAAACATTTAATTTTTCAACAATCTTTTGTATGGCGAATGCTGTATGCAGATTGATCGAGTTTTATCACAAAAACTCAATGGGCACAAAATTTAATAGGTTTAAGCCTTAACACAACTTCGAATCAAAAACAAAAAATTTAATCTTTAATCAGTTGGGAGTAAAAGATAGGCAATGATACACATAACACTATTAGTGTACACTACTCTTCTAAGTAGCAACGACTAGGAAAGACGCTTTCAATATCCACTTTCTTCTAAAAATTATATCGATTATATATCTTTGTGTTGCAGCGACACAAAAATATTTAAAAAAAATGGAAAATGAAATTATTTTATATATATAAATATGTTAAGCTCGTCTTTGAAGATGTTTAATATCGTCAAATATTATTATATTGGAAAGAACAAATCATGCAACAAATAATGCCTCTACGAACAGAATACTATTGAAATTCAACAATTGAAAATAAAATTAAAATTAATTAATTAATTCAATTATTCTACAGCTGGTTTATGATTTCGTTCTAATATAAACACAGCAAGTAAAATTGTTAATAGAAACTTTCATAGCAAAAGTAACAGAACTCCAGAAATATATGCGAACAAAAAAGTCAAGTACGGCTTGGATCAGTTGGTTAAGGTGCGCTGATTCTGAGCTTCAGATTTGGCAGGACCCGAGTTCGATTCCTGGTACTTGCAGTCTCAAAAATAATTATTTACGAATAATTAAATACAAGAATTATTTCCAAGACCACTGATGATGGGTATTTGGGAATACTGGAAACAGCTGTATGGTCAGCCAAAAATTCAATTATTTAAAATAATATAAAAAATAAAATTTTTGTTGTTGTATTTCACTACTGTTCGATAAAACCTCTTTATGAAATATAACAAGTTTCTATTAAATAATAGTCACTTTCGTCAGGAAAATTTGACGTTAAATTACAACTTATTACCAATTATGTTAAACGTCTGAAAATACCAATAGAAAATGGATCAATAAATTATAAAAGATGCACTAATGGAATTGCACTTGGAAATTTTAATCGATCAGTATTATATATTATCCAAATTTGGAATAAACGTACCTTACAACCAACTTGAAAGCATGTAGTATATTGGTAGTCCATATTCTTGAAATGCAATTCATATATTCAGTGATACATGTTATATATCAAGTAATATATGTTATATATTCAGTCATTTATGTTATGAATAAAGTGAGATGTGTTATATATCAAGTAATATATGTTATGTATATAAATTAAATTAACTTATGTTATAAATTAAGTGATATATGTTATATATCATTTGAATGAAGCTGCACATAATATTAATCTCCTTTGAAACTCAGAATATCACTGCATCCACATTTAATCTAATGGCAACTGTTTTCGTTTAAGTACCCAAAAACATTTTCGGTTAAGTTTTCTTAACAAAAATTAGTTCATACCGAAATTCAAATTCTGAGTGATGGCTTCACCAACGCGGGAAAGGAGTTGGAATATTCCCAAAGTGATGGATGCTGCCTTTCGTAGATGAGACTGAAGTTTAGTAGACAGCACACAATACTGTTTGGTAGTGAGTATAAATTGCAGTGAGTACGTTTTAATCATGACATCAGACCGATGGTGAAAATCTGGTAATACCAGGATTAGCTTCGGCTACCCTAACTAATTGCGATTTGCCTCTTTAATGAAAGTATTGTATTGGCTAGGGTTAAAAACCAAAGTTACGAGGCTATAATAACTATAATTATTAGTTACATTCGATATAAAGTTGCATTTTATTACTGTGTCTTAATGTTTAAGGTAGGCTTTATAATCTACCAAGGAGGAAACTATATCCAAAGATATAGCTTCAGCTAGAATCTGTAAAGTTTGTTGAAATTCTTATGAGTGCGTTTATCATTGCCTTATGCTGATATTTGTGTTAAGATCTGTGTGATGGCTTAATATCGCTATATTTAAGTACGATTGTTAGAGCAATTTTAACACTTAAATTTAAGTAACTGCTTTGTGTCTAAATAAATATAATGTTACAATAAGAAAATTATTAGGCTAAAAAAGAATTGCACATGTGGCAGAAATAACTCAGTACATTAATATTCGATTTGAAGAAAATCTGTCCAACGTATGAAACTGCTCCCGCAAAATTTTAAAAACTGTAATATAATGGAAGCTCATAAAACAATATCTTCCAAACCTAACAATCCCAAAAGTACACTATAGTATTGCACGAGCGAGAATTATATGATATGACTTGTATGCCATGAATTCAGATACATATTTATGGCAAAATAAATTATATTTTTAAATATTTATACATATCTTATTTATATTATACTAGTAGATGACCCGGCGAACTCTGTTCCGCCTTAAAGGCAATAAATAAGCAGTTTTTTTTTAATTGGAAAAAATACAAAAAAAAAAAAATACCTACATTAATCATTCATAATTTATTTGTGTATTTTAGTACACATCGCAAATTATCTATTTGTTGACCTCTGTTGTTCGCTCGACCTTCAGTCCTTAAATTTGCAGTATTTCGTATTCTTCTTGCATTACGGCTTTGTCGGGAAAGATTCGATCGTCTTGGTCGCGGCATTATTAAAAAACTAAAAACTCAAATTTTCAACCATACCATACATTATAATTGTTAATTATTTATTTTGTTGAGTTTGCAACAACCAGGTAGTTTTATTGATTAAAAACGATATTTATTGCAACACAAACTTATATTGATCTAATACAACTTTTAAAAACACATTAACTAAGTTATATTTCTATCTGTTAAATTTTAATAAAATATTTTCTTATATCAAAAATTTGATAATTTCAAAACCTACTTTGTCGTGAACGGGATAAACAGGTATCCTATGTCCTTCTCCTGGCCTTAAACTACCTCCCTGCCAATTTTCAGCTAAATCGGTTCAGCCTATGTCCTTCTCCTGGCCTTAAACTACCTCCCTGCCAATTTTCATCTAAATCGGTTCAGCCGTTCTTGAGTTATAAGTGGTGTAACAAAAACACATCTTTCTTTTATATATATAGAAGATATAAATATATAAATAGATATAAATATCAACGTTTGTAATTCTTCTACGTACATTTTTTTACTACATATATATATATATATATATATATATATATGTATGCATACACAATATTGCCTAAATACGACTGCAAGATAAATCTTTTTGTTTATATTTATTTTAATAAATACGCTTTAGATGCTATGTTTATATACTTTGTCATATTTTTTTTATTTACACACAGTTGTGTACATAACTCACATTTATTTAAATAATGGCGGCATTAACTTTATTTTAAATTAATAAATTAAGGATAAGTAGGCGTCATCGTCTACATAACACCACAATAATCATTCGAATTTATGTGATATAAAGAGAACTCTTCACAGAGCTGCTAGTATATGAATAAGATTGAGATATAATTGAAGAAGACTTTTTTAATGAAACTAAAGTGCAAGTACAAAATA